ATCGATTCAACAAATTTCATTTTCGAAATTTATTCAAGAATGACTTTTGAATTTGTTCATCATCAGGTCAACTTGTTCCAATTAAAGCTTTTCATAGTCGTGCTCAACTTGTTAATGTTACTGCTGAAGTAAATTAAAAAATTTTCTTTTCTGAAAAAAAAATGAAATTTTTTTTTTAAATTATTTTAGGTTGTTCTCTATCAAGTTTATCATAATACAGATTCGATTCCCATTGAAGCTAAATATGTATTTCCTTTTGATGAAAATTCTTCTGTCTGTGGTTTTGAAGTTCTTATTAATAATATCATCATTAAATGTGTTGTTAAAGAAAAAGAACAAACTAAACGTGAATATCGTGAAGCTATTGAAAAAAAAAATCATGGTGCGTATTTAATGCATCAAGAACATCAACCAATTGTGAAGTGATTATTAAAATAACATATGTTGCTGAATTATTTATTGAAAATAATGGTATAATATTTCGTTTATCAGCTAAAATAACTTCATGGCAATCAAAACAAGCTCTAGAAATAAACGATCAAACAATAATTTCATCAATTAATCTCGAACAAGGCTATGCTTCAACGAAATCGATTGACTTTAGTCTTACAGCAACAATACGAACGCCATATGAAATAAAATTATATTCACCAATACATTGACTTCGTCGAAAAATAACTTATTGTCTCGCTATGATTGAATTTGTTGATAATGTTTTACTTAAAAAAATTTTATTCTTTGCATAACATTAAAAAATGTTAATTTACCACGAATACTAAATGAAACATATGCTGTATCTGATTCAAATACAAGTAATCAATAAGTAAATGAAAATTTCTCAAGCATGCATGTTAACATTTTATCCAAATGAACATGTGGAAATTGTTTTTATATCATTGATATATCAAGTTCAATGGATTGAAAACATGTACAACAAGCAAAGCAATTAGTACATTTATTTTTGACAAATATCAAAACTGATAGTAAAAATATTTTATTTAATATTGTTAAATTTGAATCAAGGAAATCAAGATGAATATTTTTCTATTTCATCACCATCTATAAAAGAAAATATTGATAAAGCTAAATATTTTGTTTTGGTTTATATTCTTTTTTGTGTGTGATCTCATATAATTTAAGAGAATTAGCTAATGGAACTAGTGGTGGTGGTTTAATAACTGTATTTGAATCCAATTATCGTTCAAGATGAAAAACAAAAGTACTTCAAATACTGGAACATATGCATCAACCATGTGTAAGAAATATATCTATTGATTGGTATGAAATAATTGATCATCAACAAGAAAAATTTACTAATGAACCACCGGAAATAATTCAATCTTTGTTTTAATAGTATGCGTTTAACTGGATATCGTTTTTTACAAAATTGTCATAAAGCAACATTAGCAGCAAGTATAAATAATCAAGAATATGTTACAAATATATATAATAATAAAATAACTGAAAGAAAAGAATTTACTTTACGTTATTTAATAGTACGTTCGAGATTTGATTGAACTTAGTATGAAATATTCAATTGTAAGCTCATATACAACTTTTCTAGGTGTTGAAGAAAGTGATGAACAAACATTTGAAACAGGTGTTCAATTCCTTGATGTTATACTTGAAAATGATATTGATTTACTTCCATATATTACTCGGGATCGTGATCATTCACAAATTGATATAATTAAAGATAAATTAATTAAT